ATCTGTTGCAGCATCGCCTTGGGGACGGTTGGGGCCCTAGACCGAACCGTCCTTTGTCTCAAGGTGGTTGTGCAACACACACTGCGTGGTATTATGCAGCGGCTGGCTAGGGTCAATTTGATTGTCATCCTAATTAACACATTGAATGTCGGGCAATTCGTACTTGGCCATGCGCTTAAGCATGTTTAACTGCTCAATAACACCTTGCCGAGCCCTCTTCAACTCGGCAATCGCGTCTATAACGGCCTTGCCATCAATTTAATAACCATCTAGGACCTTGACATACGTTGTCGCCCATTCAATATGTATCGCTTCTAGTCTTTGGTTTCGGTTTTGTAACCTTCTCGTATATAGTCTGGAACAGGGCCCACAAAGTCGCTGTGTCGGTAGCAAGGTCGCATTTTGGTGATTCTCCTTCTCGCCATTCTCAAGAACTGTCAGGCTTTGGCCTTCCTGGCCCCCCAGCCTTCCTCTAGGTCCTCTAGAAGGCATCGTGGCCTAAGATGGTAGCCTTGCAGCTACTAGGACATGGGTCAGCTATCAGGATACGGATTGGCTCCCTTGGGACTCTTCTAACAGACTCCTTTGTCTGTTATTTTGTATATACAGACAACCTCGTAGCTGTTAGATTCGTAGCTCTTCGTGCAACAACATAGTTGTTACCCTTATCGCTTGGTCGGCCTTGTGACAAGAACTGCGCGGCACATGTCCTCGAAAAAAAGGACAGGCCTATTCTGTCCAAAACGCTCTGTGACGGTGAACCGTCTCCTTTTGACGCTGTCTGCATCTATGTGGGGATGATATCCTTTGCATTTTGTTAGCATTTGCAGTCTCCGGATGAAATCCTAACCACTATTATGGCAATAGCTACTAAGAGCCTGAGGCAGTTGATAAAGGGGGAAAATGCTTCTTCTGTTACCCCACCGTCTTTCTTGTAAAGGAACCATTATACTTAGGACAAGTTCCCTAGTACGTGTTCGCCGTTATGATAGATAGTGAAGAGGGATAGTAGAAGACTAATGGGAAAATGTAACGGGAGGAGGAAATTTGGCTTTAAGATTGACATAAAACTCATGGGCAGTTGCTAATTGCTTACCAGGCATTGCAAGAACGCGTACACTGCGATCTATCGTGCTTCAGCCATACTGCCATGGCGGGCTGTGGGGTGCTGCAATGTAGAGAGAGGCGATACCTTCTCGGGCGCAAGAGCTGGCGCAGGTGCGAGATCAGAATGGTTGGCTCGATTCACTTGAGAGTCATTCTCGTGCGTATTGAAGGTTGCTAATTCCTCAAAGTGCCACTTGGAAGGGTTCGAGGGCTCACTGGAGTCCGAATCCGCCATCGTAATGCAATCCACTGACAAGCGTGTTGTTAGTAAGAATGCATACCGTCGATTAAAGATGTACCTAGTGAGTATGGATGACGACGATGGCAAGGCCAATTCAAGAAGAGAAGACATACCTGGGGCCGTTCAACTGACTTGGGGTGAGTTGAGGAAACAGACGGATGGAGTCCTGATATACTGATGTACATCCGAACTCCAAAGTGATGATCGAAAGCAATCGTTCAAAATGGACGAGGTGGTGTGCGTGGCACAGGAATGGGAAGTTGGTGAAAAGGAAAAAATGCGGGCAATAGTAGAGGTGGCTGCAAAAGTCCATTTGCTTAGGATAACGCTGGCAACGCAAATAAATAAAATCCACTCACCTGCACTAGAAGAGTCAACAACCCCGCCAAATGACTTGGAACAAGATACATTTATTTGATTAGAGCAAAGGGGCAATCTTGCAAAAAGATTGCCACTCCCTAAAATACCTAGCTTATGGCACCAAAATTAAATATTTGTGCCTATTCTTTTCTTTCCATTTCATAGTATTCCATGGTACGAATGTTAGTTGCAAATGTAAATCGAAGTTATGATAATGACATGGACAATATGATTGAATTTGCAATGAAAACTCTAGTAGGTTGATTGATGAGCGATATCGCTTTCCAACTATTTCTCGTGCTACTCATATTGGGTGGTTGATGTGGTCAAATTTTATTCTTTATATACCATAGTATTGCACCGAATGTCGGGAAGCCTCTTTTCCTAGAAGTTAGCTTGCAAAAGCTTCTTTGGCTTGGTGGTGTTTGCTACGCTTCGCATCCATGGGGCGTTATCAGGGGATAGTGACTCGGGACGAATGCCGGCGGTGGGAAAGGAAAGCGTTAAAGTCTTCGACAAAATTCACTCGAAGCCGATGCTCTCAACAACGAACAGGACTCCTCGGAGGAGACCGACCCATCGTTCATCATAGCCGTCGTCGTTAACTAGTAGGTTACGTGGCCCAGGTACTTGGGTAAAGCTGTAGTAGCAGCTCAGTGCCTTCGCGACATAAGCGTTGAGCAGTTGTCCTTGTTCAGATTCGGAAGGATACTTGTGGCTTGGCGGATCCCGACGGTCAAATGGTTTCCCGCACTCTATTGGAATTGGACCTGTCGAGCTGGGTTTGATTGCATTCGGGTGTAGCACGCACAGATAAGCGTAATCCAAATGCGGTCCTTTCTCCTACCACAACACTCTATCGCTTATGTTGGATGTTAAGCCGCTCATACAGAAGTACAGCAACTCTATGTCGTTTACGGCTAATCGTGGAGAAGTAATTACGCTTGCTGGTGCCGTGTCGGGGCTGGACGGGGAGACTCCGCGGCCTTGATCATGGGATCCCGGGGGCTTCGCAATGGCCGCCCATGACTGCCTCGCTCTCAAATACCTATACCCAGGGCTTATCCATTCCATCTTCTGTTGCCCTGCCCACTGGATGCTGGGTTGGTGTGGTGCGAAAAGTCGCAGTAGATAGAAAACTGTTGATAATTGCCACAAACAGGCTTAGCTCGTCACACTGATACAATTAATTACTTTTTATTCGCAAACCGTCACTAGGTGCAAAAGAAATGCCCCTACCTTGGTCTTTCTTTGTTTACATTTCTGACATCTAGCTCGGAACTTCTTAATATATCGGTGCCTATATATAGGTAGGTACCGGGACGAGGCTGTTGCAGACCAAGACGCTACCGACGAGGCTCGTGTAGATTCTTCGTCATTCTTCGAGTTACTACGGACGGTATAGTTACGATGTGGTGAATAAGTCCTGAGCAGCTTGACCGGCGATTATTTCAAATTAGGTAGAAACGAGGATCGCGGAGAGTTTCGGGCTGGTGTCATGGGCAAAACGTAAGGTGTGTTGAAGATAAAGCAACGTGGTTACGAGAAGGACCCAATCATGTGAAAGACTGGAGGAAAAAGAAGTCTACTTTGATAAATGCAGCCCTGGTGATCCTATCATCTGTGATTATCCTAAGGCCGATGATCTACGAGGAAATAGAACGTTACCCCACGAAGAGCTTCTTAAATACCCTAACAGCTACAGAGCCCCGTGTATAAGTGGTGAGACAAAAAAAAATAAAAGCCAAGTCTCTACCTAAGCCCGAGTCCACCAGATCGCCCTCTTTCCGCTTTAGATCCGTTTTAAATCTAGGTAATACCATGGAATGCCTTGATGGATGATTCGAAGTTTATTTAACGAGTCACTTGGAGAAGATAATATGCTGTGAAAATCTTCGAAAAGTTGAGCCTAATGCGTAGACTAGGAGACAGACAAAAGCTTTACGTGATTATTTGATGTTCCACTCGAACTTAAGTCTCCCAACTATCATTGAAAACGGTAAGTGGGAAGGGTTTCATTATCCCGGAGTTTTTTCGTTTCCATTAACTATTCATTTCTTTACAAACAGAATATCATAGATGGTTAAGAACATATTAGTAATCCACAATTAGCGCTGAGTGAATTGAGGCGTGCTGTCCGGATACTCGGGATGTTGGGTATCGTGGCGGAATTGAGTTGAATATGAACCTACAGTTATGCTTAATTTACCTAAGCTCATCTCCAATTATGCCTAATACCTCAGGCACTCTACTTTTTGTCACGAGTTATAGGATTTCACTTTCACACTTCATATCCGATTGATATCATACCAGCCAATCAATAGATACCAATGCCTCTCAGGACTGTCCTAATTACCGGCTGCGGACCGGGAGGTATCGGCTCGGCCTTAGCGATCGAGTTTCACATGCGGGGCCACCGCGTCTTCGCCACGGATATCTCGGCGGACCTCGCGCATCTGCAGGACCGCGGCATAGAAACACTAGCGCTGGACGTAACGTCGCAATCGTCAATCGAAGAAGCAGCTGCGCATGTATCGAAACTTACAGGCGGTAAGTTGGACATCCTCATCAACAATGCGGGGGTACTACACGCGATGCCATTCGCCGATCTCGACGTGGCTGCCGCGCGCCGGCTCTTTGACGTCAACGTTCTGGGCGTCGTCGCCGTGACCAAGACGTTCTTACCGCTGCTACTAGCCGCCGCGAAGAAGGATACATCGAATAGCGGAGGGGATCCGATCGTTGCGAACGTCTGCAGTGTCAATTCCGAGATCCGGCCCCCCTTCTTCGGCATCTACAACGCGTCGAAGGCGGCCGTCGAGGTCCTCAGCGCAAGCATCCGGCCCGAGCTAGCGCCCTTCGGAGTCCGCGTGGTCACGATAAAGACGGGTTCCATCAACACCGAGCTGTTCCGCAACGCGCCACCGACGAAACTGCCGGAGGATAGTCTATATCGTCCAGTAAAGGAGTTTATCGAAGGCCGCAAGATGCTGGAGAAGGCGTCGTACATGGAGCCTGAGGTGTACGCCAAAAAGGTAGTGGACGAATTACTCAGGCCATCGGTCAAGCATGTCATCTGGCAGGGCGGTTTGACGATGTTTGCGTGGATCTTGAGCTGGTTCGGATGGGAGGGGATGATGGTGAGTTTGCAGCATGTCCGTATCTATCACTACTTGGGCTAACAAAACCTAGGATGGTATTTACATAAGAGAGAATAAGTTGGATAAGTGTGCCGTGCGCACATAGTACGAGGAGGCAATGGGCCTGTTCTATATATTGAGATGTAAGGCATTAATTAGTGTTTTGGTGGTAAAATCTATCGTTGCCATCGATAGGCCCCGCGTTCGATTCGCGGCTAATGCATTGTGAGTTGTGCTTTCATCTTTTCTTTTGCTTTTTGGTGATATGTGGGAATTGAAATATATAATAAGTGGGGTGTTAGATTATACATTATACTAGATAATTTATAAATAAAAAATTTCTTTTATTTTTATTTTTAATTTAAATATAATAAATATTAATTTATATAAAATATAATTATAATTTAATTAATTATTAATATATTAAAAATAAATATATATATATAAAAAAACGATATAAATTTTTTATTTTTTTAAATATTATTTTAATAATAAAATTTAAAAAAATAAATAAAATATTATTTTAAATTTTTTTAATTAATTAAATATAATAAATTATTAAATTATAAAATTAAATTTATTTTTTTTAATTATAAATTTAAATAATAAAATTATAATAATAAATATAATAATAAATTATATATAAAAAATTATTAAAATTATAATTAATATATTAAATTTTTTTAAATTTTTTTTATTAAAAATAAATTAAAATTTTTAAATTTATTTTTATATATTAAAAATTCTATTAAATATAATTAATTAATTTATTTAAAATTTATTTTTATTAATTATTTTTTTAAAATTTATTATTAAAATAACATTTAAAAAATATTTTTATAATATTAATTATTAATTTATAAAATTTAATAATAAATAATTATTATTAAATTATTTTCGATATTTATATATATTTATAATTTTAATTTTATTTTTATTAAAATTTCACGATTTTTTTTTTATTTCATTTACCCATACGTTCCTAGAGCCATTCTGTGATAAATTAATAAAAAAATGCCAAAAAGCAGGGTTTGGCCGGGGATCGAACCCGGGGCCCCTCGCATAAGAGCATATCGTCGTATGCTGGATACTTGGGTATTACCCTAAGCGAGGATCATACCGCTAGACCACCAAACCCAGCATCGTGATCTCTGATCAACGTATGTTGCAATGGCAACGTTTTCATTATGAAGGATTATGTGACTCAGCTTGCGGGGTACTCTACCGAGACTGTTATGTCTGAAGAGGAATCTTTCGACGATGAATCACAACTCCCGTTAGAGTTATCGCATACGTGGATAACGACCTTGGGAGATATGTCACATAAGAGAAGAGGTAAATATTATTCGGCTTGTGCTGGTAGATCGAATTCTCGGTCATCTAGCGGAGTATTGGAGTGTGGCTTTGGGGGACGTGCTCATGTGGCTTATTCTCACTTACCTAGGTGAACATGGACAGGTTTCCGTGTTCCGTGTTCCGTGTTCCGCTCCTTGTGCTATGGAAAAAAAATGCCGATGGAGATCTTACCGTCGACTTGCAACGCCGCAATCTAACCCTTTCGGTGAAACTCAAAGAAAAGGGCCTGTAAGGTATTACATAAGTGCGTACCTGATAAAACAAAATCGCAAGTAATTACTAATTGCTTTTAATTAGATTCGATTTTAATTTTAAAATTATTATTATTATTATTATTATTATTATTATTATTATTATTATTATTATTATTATTATTATTATTATTATTATTATTATTATTATTATTATTAT